CTGTGGTTTTTACTTGTTTTCCTAATCAAGATTCTACTGTCAAAATTCATTTTTAGGAGTGTCCCTTATTACCCTGAGGGTGTTCCTTATTACACTGGATTAAATGCAGCTGTCTTAAAAAAAAAATGCAGCTTTCTTTGCAGAAATATCTGCCATATTTTTTTGGAATTAGATATGAAAATTCCGTCAATCACGTTTTTAAACCAACACCTGTGTGCAACTTTATGTAAGTAAAATTTTTTAATACAATGGGTACTTCTTGCTACAGACCTTAGCAGAGGTACTTTTTAAAAATCTGACTTATCAAACTTTTTCCACCAATTTTTTAGAGCTAATAAATGTATGATTTCTTAACTTGCTCTATGCTCCAGAGTCCATAGATAGTAAAAATGTTGAACTTTAAGCCACTATTTTTAGTTTTGCAATATTTTGATCAATTAAGCTGCTACAACAGTTCCATAAAATGTGGGACAACTGTCCCAATTTATCCCGCCTGTCCCTTATTACCCCATTTAAAGATAATGCTTAAGTTTATGTTAAATATTAAGTCATGTTAGTTCAAGTATTAAGTTAACCAGTACTGTAGTACATATGCCATATTTTGGGTGGGGCTTTTGAGCACAATGACAGCTGGAATGGATGGCATCACAATCCCATCAACCAATCACAGCTGGAAAGGGGATGACATTATAATTCCATCAACCAATCACAGCTGAAAAAGGGTTAACACCACAATGCCATCATCCAATCACAGCTGGAAATGGATAGGATATGTATATAATGGACTGAAAGTGGAAAGTTTCTGGCCTTTCCGAGCTTTCATGTGCTGCTCTCCAATATGCTATCTGTACTGGTTAATTTGATTCTGGTATCCCTCTGGAATTCCACACTGCCTTCATCATGGTGTAATAATATTATAGCTGCAAAACTAATTGAAAATTGAAGTATTGCAAAAGTAAAAATAGTGGCATGAACTTCAACATTTTTCTTATTTATGTAGCATAAAGGAAGTTAAGCAATCATACATTTGCTAGCTCTAAAAAAATCTCCGAAAAAATGTTGGAAAGTGATATTTTGAAAAAGTACTTCTGCTAAGGTGGTTAAGGTCAGTAGCAAAAAAAATATTTGCTATATTAGAAAATTTCACTCGAAAAAAAGTTGCGTACAAGTGTCAGCTTTGAAACTTCATGGACTGAATTTTCCTATCTCAAAACAAAGCAAAATGCAGCCATTTCCACACAATGGGATAATAAGGGACACCATAAAAACTCATTTACTGTAGAACCTTGGTTAGCATTGGCTCCAGTTAATGAAAAAATTTCACTTGAAAAAATTAATGCAGCATCACTCATCAGTCATCACAAAATTGTGCGTAGAATGTCATGGATAGAATTGTGCACAGGGGCAACATAGAATGAAGAGTAATTAACCTAAATGATTATTTATTTCTCCAAAAATAAGATGTTTTCACTAAAATATTCCTTTCTGTTTCAGGTATGTTTTTTGCAATCTTTTTTTGTTATAGTAAATTTGCTTGACCCAATTAAAATATGCAAAATTACAAGCCCAGTCCTGTAAGCTTACAGATACAGAAGAAATTCTAAATGGCTGCTGATATACAGCTTGCAATGAACAAGGTCATTTTCAATTCTCAATGGCATGACCACGGACACAGTACCAAACTGGACTTTCAAGTTGCCTTTCAAAAAAACATCTGTATAGGGAATTTTTCTCACTCTTATGGCTCAGAAGCCCAACTTTCCTTCAGAGTACACTGATATTCATAGCTCAACTAGTGAATGAGCGGTTTGTTTACATTGGTTTGTCAGTCACCTGCCAACTTCCGTGGCAGTAAAGGGCTAAGTTAAGAGGAGCACCCGGGTCAAATTTTATTTTGGTTATTTACAGACAGATCACTTAGAAACTTGGTACACATATGTAAAAAAAATAGACTGCTTTTGTTCATGTAAATTTTTTTAAAAATTGAAAGAAAACATGAAATTTGTATAAAACAGCCAAATAGGGGTACCATAGAAAACAATCTCCTAAGAATATTCAAGCTACATCATTGAGACGCATATCATTCAATGCGTAAAGACCATATCTATCGATTGGTTGTAGCTTTTTTTGAAATTCTAATATATAAGTGTGGGGGGGCTTTTTTGTGAATTTTTCACTTCCCCCCCTCCCCCTCTGCCCCCCCCTTTTTTGAAATATTTTCAAAACCATAACGAAATTGAAAAAAATACAACCATCCTCTAGATCTTTTATTTGCAAATCGAATGGTATATCTCTCAATTCTGTAGCTTCAAAACTGTAGTGTTAGGGACACTCCTAACCTCCTCAAAAGGCCCAGTATGACCAATATATTGTTGGCTTTTATCACATGGAAAACTATTAAAAACAACCTAACAGCAGGACAAATGTAACACAATACCAATCTAGCTAAATGAACTCAAAACTGAGAAGACAGATACATTGAGACGATGTAATTGGGTATATGATGCTGAGGGGTTAGTGGGGTTAATGAAAGGGACATACACAAGAATGAAAATGGATGGAAAATAAGTATAGATACAGCAATCCCTTGATTAACGCGGTTAATAAATCCCCGAGTTTTACCGTGTTAAGCAAAACCGCGCTAATCAAACTTAAGAATATATGGGAATAATTATAATGAATCCTCAAAAATAGCAAAGTTACATAATAATTTTTTTTTCCACTAAAATTCATCATATTTTTTTCTAAATAATAGGGGAAATAAATAAAATAAATGCGAATGAATCCTCCAAAGCAAATCCTCCATTTTGATCATTATACGAGTCCTATTTCTAGTGCATTGCACGCTCGACGACGTAGAAGCAATTTTTCCTTTCTCTTGATACTCGGACGATTTTTTCAAAATTGTGCGTATTGTTGACTCGGGAAACCCTAGGTCTTCACTGATCTTCGTTTTTGTTTCACCATTATCAAAACGCTTAATTATTTCAAGCTTAGTCTCCAAAGTGATATTTTTACGTTTAAGCATTCCCTTTTTGTCCATAATTATGTTGGTAATTTATCAAGGAAAATTATGTAGTTTGATAAAAATGAGCAGTAGATATGGCAACGATCTTGACCAGTTGAAGGCTAACGAGTAACTAGAGCACCGGCATGGCGCACTTACCGGCGAATGTTGCCAAACTCGACCATTCGAGTTATGAACAAGATAAGGCGCGGTAGTTAGCACGAGTGCCTACGGAACAGGGCCTTATTTAAAGAATTATTGGCTGAAATTCATAAAGTAACAACATTTGGCAAATTTTTCCAAAAGTCATAACAAAAGTAACAACATAAGATCTAATAAGCAAAAAGTAACACTTTTGTTACAAATGTAACACCTCTGGCTAGAGGCGGGAAAATGATGCGTTGTGAGAAAAAAGTCAAGCTAATCAAAACTGGCACCGCGTAGATTAAGGGTAGGTTGCAAATTTTTTTCCGCTTTAATCAAAACCGCGGTATTCAAAACCGTGCTAATCAAGGGATTGCTGTATTACCAAAAACCCTAAATCTATAAAATACCTTGGTGATCAGTAAAATGTGGTAATAGGAATGGTGAAAATAAAACTTAACAACAAATAAAGCTCACAAATGGCTTCTGCTTCTCAATTTCTTCTGGCACAGCTCCCTGTTCAGAAGTGAGGTTAACAGGGTCTTCATTTGGGTATCCAGTGTCTGTGGTCAAGCTCCAACCCACAAGCAACAGTGAGGGGCACGGTCTACGAGTCTGCAGCTGAGATCACTTTCACAAGACAGGCACTGCACCAGGACTAAAGACCACAGCAGAGAGCAGCAAAACTTGATAATGGAGAAGCAAAAAAACACATTAAACACTGTGACGGTTGCAGGTGATTCTTAACACTAGGTCAGTGGGTTTCATGGCCAGAATATAATCCAGATCACCATAAGAGGTGACTTCTGCTCTGGAGTCATAGATTGCACATGACATTATAGCCAGCACTAAGCACTTAGTCTTTGGAAGTAGCCACTTGTCAGTTAGACAACATAATGGTAAGCCTTTATCAATCACTTGGCTATGAGTCAGTAAAATAGTGATCAGCAATCTCCAAAAGCACTGGTAGACAGACTGGTTCTAGCTTGCACTTAACAGGGATATTACTAATCATAACATCAGGCTTAGAGGCTAAAGCAAAGACTAGGTATAAATAATCATTGGTGATCTGGAACGAGAACAACACAAGGGATCAGGGAGAAATGCATGAGAGAATTAATGGCAACACAAAATACACAGCTAAAAGCCATTCCCCCACAGTAGGAGATAAATACCAGTGACAATAAGACAATAATGCCAGAACAATACCAGTGACATCAATACCAAATTCCCAGTGACAATAAGTACAGTGTTCAGGAGAGCGCAACAAAGCCCTGAACACCCCACGTCAAGCTATATAAAGGCATTTAAGGTGCAAGGATGATAGGGAATATGTTACTTGAGCTCAAATTCAGATGGAGGGAACGACTGCATGAGCACCTTCCCCCATGACAGCTACTGGGTAACTGAAGTGCGGCGTCCACAGATGTTAGTCTTATGTGACCCGGCTGATAATTTTACCCGTAACATATTGTGAGAGAGCTCTACAACACCTAATCCTAGCGATCTGTCGTGAATGCATAAATCAATGTACAAAGATGATTTTGGTACCATTGGATAGGTCAGAATGTCAGCTAAAGATGTGCACAAAAACAGGAAAAATTAAAATTTCCAATTTTTGACCCAAATGCTGCCCTTAAGTCAGGCGGTAAAGGGTTAACCTGAGCCCGAACTTGTTTATGAAATGTTTCATGGTAAGAGGTTATTAACAAAAATGCCCAAAATCATCCCTTATTACCACATTTGATGGTGTGTCTGTGTCATAGCAAACCAGAGATTTTTAAGAATCAATTCATTCTTAATTACCTTATCTGCTCAAAATATTTCAATCAATTTCTTATATATGATAAAACTGGTATGTGGTATCTAAGATACTTACTAGTCTACATATATGACTCAAAAATAAACTTGAGAAAGGATCACAAAAAATGTTCTCCTTGGCCACCATGCTGCATATTTTATGACTATTACTGTTCTGTCTGATCTCATTTGCAACAGTCATTTCTGTGTTGAGATACCTTAATATCAGCACCATGTTAGAATCTTTTCCCAACATGCTGATGATGATGAACAGGACATACATGGTTTAACTATATAAGGTTGATCAATGAGGATTTCTGTCCTTCAGTTTATCTTTGTTGTTACGTCACTGAGATTGGGAAATGCAAACAATCTTGTCATTCCCATGACAGATTGGTTGACCTGTGTGATCACATTTTGGTTATTGGTTAATTTGGTTAATGCCCGTGATGTCACTGAGATCAGTGACATCACAGACAAAGAACAAACTACATCCTCAAAAATGAGCTTCTCATGGGTCAACCTTATACTAGTTCAACCATGAGGACATAATCCTAGAAACAGCAACAAATGGAACTGCAAGTCCCTGTGCAATCATGCAGCTTTCTTTGATTTCCAACAGCTGTCTCTTTTCTTTTATTTTGATTTCATTTTGTTGTAATATTAGAGTTTGTAGAATTCAATTTGTGTTAGATATTTTTGTTAGGTATAGTCCAATATTTATTTGTGAGCTCCAGAAATTTGAGTGCAATGTTCTTTGTAGCTAGTTTACTGCCAGTAGCTTTTCTTTCAAATCTAAATAGATTTTTGTAATGGTAAGAATTTATAATTGAAATCAACAATAATTAATAATACGGCAACTTTTGCTTTTGGCAAAGCTTGAAGATTCAAGTGAATTAAAGGAAATAATTAGTGTAAATCAGTTTTGTATTCTTGAAGGCTGACTGATTATGATATTGATATCTTTAAGATTCAGATCAAGCATAAGAGTTTAACTTGTTGTGAACACCAGAATTGCAAACTGAGGTCTGGTAGATCCTGCAGAGCTATTCAAATTTAATACCATCCAACAACATGGAATTGAATAAACTATCTCCAACCAGGCTCAATGAAATGATCTTTTTCCTAAAACTGACACAGACCAGGTGACAAAACCCCAAAAACCAGGTGATAAAACCCAGTCTTGGTTGCCAAACAAGTAAATAAAATGATTCAATGCTCTACAATTGAAGATGTGTTGATCAACAAAAGACATAACCTTGTAGCTGTGGAATTCAAACCTAATGAAGAAGATGCAATGAAAACCTAACTTTCCACCAGTAATCTTGGACAATGGCAATCTTGGACAATGGCAAGCTTGCCAGATAGTCAAGATCTCCCAACTTCCAAAATTTTTTGGAGCATCAAAATAAGACTCCTTTGTCCTCAAGTTAGACTTTGAAAGCAAACAGATATCAGAAAAATATATTTTTGCTTGCATCTCATACAGTACGGTATGAGAGATTATAACCCTCCTCCTCTCAGATGCTGCAGGTGTCAGCAACAGAGACACCTTTCAAGTGGGTGCACTGCCCCTGAATGTTGTTTGCTCTATGCCAGTAATCATTCTAAAAATGTGTCTCTATAGAGGTCTGTATAAATTCAGGTCTCTATAGAGACCTGAATTTTAGGCAAATTATAGTAGCTTGTGCAAAGAAATTTTCCTATCTAAGTTGATGAATTATGTATGGAAGAAATAGTGCCAGCAAAAAAGTGCCTAAGTCAAGAAAGCCTCCATGTCAAAAAACCTTGCATGCCAATGTTGCTCCAGGTGGCTTACCTGGGGGTTGGGATAATTTTCCTCCAGTTGCACGCCAACAAATTTCAGCAAAGAGTTGGGTTGAACAGTGCAATGCTAAAAGAGAGCTTGAAGCTGTCAAACGACAGCAATGGCTTGATGCTAGCAAGCATTTCAAAACTGTTCAGTTGAAGGCTGATATGTACAATCAAAAACCATCTGCCCCAAGGTTAGTTTTGTCATAACAATCTTCTTGCAATTACGTAGTAAACTGTTTTTCAAAGAAATTGCATTATATTTGCTATAAAATATCCAAACTTTTCAGGGTACTAATTTGGGTAGAAATATAGAACTTTCTGTTTTACAGGTGCTGCACTCCTCTTGTGACCAACATTGAGCAGCACTCCAAATCAACCCAACATTTTCATGGAGCTACTGGCATGGGACGTCAGCCATCATCTGAGGAAGATGCTTCTTATCATGAACATCCTCCTAACCTTGAAAATTCACTGCTACAACCTGATCTTACAAATGAAAACCAAAATGCATCTGACAAGTTGATGTTGACATGTAATAAGCCACGAACATTATTGGATGAAAGCTCATATCTTAAACCAGAGGTTTGTTCATAGTTAAGTATTACTTAATGTCTAAAATTATTCTATTGGCAAGTATTCTTCATATGTGTCACTTGTAACTAGAAAACTGAAGCTATTTAAGATTAAGTAATGATTAGATGGATGTTACTTGTGAATTGATTGATAAATCAAAGTCTGTTATAGGTTAAAAGCTATAAATAATATCATTATTGTGGCAGATTGCTGCCTTAAAATCACGTCTGGAAGAATTGAAGAAAAGAAATACAGAGGAACGACAAAAGCTTAATGAGGAGCTGAGTTACAGAGCCTGGCAGAACAGCAACACTGCAGTGAGACAGGTTCATAAGAATACTATACAAATAACTGTGGTACATGTTTCTTTTTTCACTTCACACATATCTGAGGCATGGCCTTTTGAGTTGTAATTTTTTTAAACTATATCCTAAGTGCCTGCCTGCTAATTTTCCACTTCTTGTGTTGCATAATATCTTGTAAATGCACTAAAATAATTCAGATTCAATTCTTGATGGTAAGATTAATAACTTCCTCTTAGATGGAGAGTGAGCGGCTGCAGCATTTTGTGCGCAGTGCTTGGGTTGATCAGAGAAGATGGAAGGAGGATGAGAAATTACGTAGGGAATTGGAAGAAAGAAGAATTGAGGAGGCCGCAGCTGCAATTCAAAGACAACAGGAAGAGGAAGAAATTAAACTTTCTCTAGCAAAGCAAAAACAAAGAGAAGAATATCAACGAGAATTGGAGAAGCAATTGCACGACATTAAACGACGAGAGGAAGAGAAGGCCAGACTGGAGGCAGTAGCTGAAAGCTTATTAAGAGAGCGGAATGAGCTCGTGGCACTCATGGAGAGACGAGAGTCGCAGTTACAGTCAAGAAAGTCCCGAGCTCTCGCAGTGTCATGGGCAAGACAACACCACATCAAACTAAGACAACGAGCGTTGCTAGTCAAGCAGGAGTTGATGGAGGATGAAGCTCTTGTTCAAGAATACATTAACTTGCAACAAAACTATGCGTCTGGCTCTGCAATAAAAGACGACTTGTCATTTGTCATGAACGTGATAGAAGAACATAAAAAGTTGGAAGCACTTCGTGACAAGGAGTACGACTTGCTTTTCAGTGAGGAAGCTGCGCGGTTGTGGCGGGTACGAGAGCAACAGTGGGAACGTGAACAAGAAGCTCGTGACAAACTTTTGCTGGATGTTCTCAAGGAGCGTCAGCATCAGGTTGATGAAAAGGCCAGGGCGGCCGCTGAGGATGAAGATAAACTGAAGCATGAGTGTGCAGAAGCCAACGATCGCATTGCCAGGACAGAAGAAAATCTTTGGAGGTTAGATGCTAAAGGTCAGGAGAAACAAGATGGTATGACTAAAAATTACTGTCTAAATGACATGACCGCAACTGCCAATGCAAGGGTATTAATTAATGAACAAGATGCACAATCGGAAGCCAATCATAGAAAGAAAATCGCAAGACTTGAGGCTGAGATGGCGCGTTTGTGGGGGCCTCTCTACGTTCCTCCTGTGAGTTTCTTCATTTAAGTTCGTTAATTATGTGGTATTTCCACCTTCAGGATCGTAACTTCGAGCTTTTTTAAAATTACCAAACACAAATGAGTGCACCTCGAAAGCATAACGATCACGTGATGACCTAGTGGCTGTTTGCAATATCTGGGACTTGCGATCACTGAGTGGAATATCTGTTGGAATCTCAGGTGTTGTAATTATTTTTCAGGTTGGTTAATTATTTATGCAAAATTACACTTTTGATGGATAGACTGATAACGGATTTGCGGGTTCACTCGCCTTTATTTACCACTAAGCTCTTCTTTGGTTTGATCGTTAGCTTTTTATTGTAATGTATATTTCTTCCGTCGTGCATTAATTGAATTTGATTCCGCAGCACTACGGCCGCAAAAAGGTGCAATGGTAGCCGCGGTATCCAAAGACCATTGAAGAGGTACGACGCTGCTGTGACGTCTCTGTTCCAGTCATCACAGAAGCTCAGCTTTTAGACATTAGTTTCTTCTTAAATCTTTCCATGCCTAATTTACTTGCCAATACTAGCAGTGAATATATGCCTAGTTTTTCGTTTGTGTTTTCGTGCTACATCATTTTTATCGTTACGGATATACTTGTCTTACATCATGTATCAAGTGCTCAGCATTATTAAGTTAATGGTAGTTACAGTGGATATTATATTTTACTCAATACTCACTGGAACAATACTCAATTCTGGAACAATACTACTTCTAATATTTATTTTCGTAAAAATGTGCATTCGCATCGGTATGAGCAACCAATGTGCAGATCTTCCGCTTGTTTGATGCGAGAATTTACTTCAAGGTACTTGTGCAGCTGATAACTTCGGATTAAATAAAGAAATGTATTTTTGTATTCTGTTCTTCAACTGATAAACGCGGCTTAAATAAAGGATTCTCTTGATGACGGTATCAAACCCCCTCCCATTTAATCTTCAGTGGAGAATGTGTTGCATTATTGACGTCTTCCTGACTTCCAGTTCCGTAAACGTGATACGGAAATATAATAGGGTTGTATTTGAAATCCAGCGCGCCTTGAAGCGTCTTGCAAATGACCTTAATACCGAGTTGAGACGTCACGAGCGAATTTAGAATTTTAAGGATAATGTAAAAATGTTTAATCTTTAATTCCCTCAGTATGGTTTCCAATGTAAGGCATTTAATTCCCTCAATGTTAATGGTTCAAACGGCGCGTATACACTTGAGCTCACATTTCCATTCTACCTGTATCCCCGCTATGGACAAATTGAATTGCTCACATATGCCCTACTTTTGATGACCGCACTTGAAAGAGTTCCAATGGCCAGGCCAACGTATGTATTGTTTTCAATTATTAATTATTGGTAATTATGCGGCTCATTATTCTGCGCCTATTTGCGGCTCACCGTTCCTGGCTAAGACGATTTGGAGCAGTTTCGGATCGCAAGCCTCAATTTAGAAGGAGTTCTATATAAAGAAAGCTGTCCAGCCGCGTGTGGGCGGATTGGTCGATCCAGCTCGGCGCTTCTCTTAAAATATGAGGGCCTGGAAAAAGTGCACACCCACGCCACTCCAATTAAGGTCGGCTCACTGCGTTTTAAGAATTTAGCAACTAGAACCCCAACAACGTGACGAAGGTTTGCGAAACTTTTTACTTATTCAGTACTTCAGTGACGTTGAACTCCTTGGGGTCGATAAAAATTTTATACTCTGTCTCATAGTGCTGAGAAAAATGTTAGTTGTCCCGGTTACTTTTCGGAACGTTTGGTTAGCGTTAGATTAATCATCCTCTAAAATCACTTTAGTGACCTCTCAATGTAATTTTTCTAATCGCTAAAAAATTTCCGGAAAGGAGCTCGCTGTGCTATCGCACATTAGCCTGATTTCGGTGCGCTTGTTTCGTTGATACGCATAATTATTTTTGGCTGGTCTCTTGGCCTCCTTCAAGTTGCTCCTGCAATTTCCAAACTGTGATGAAATTTTGCTACGCTACTGCCTAAAGTGATCCAACAAATTAGTTTTTTTACGTTTAATTCAGTATTTGACGATTAAATTAATTTTAAGAAGTGTTTGTACACGAGCCGAGCGTTGCTTTTATTTTTGTGAAGCATACTTCTTTGTTTGCAACTATATATGAAAATATTCTAGAGAGTCTGCTTGCCTGAAAGAAGTTTGTGTTTTTTTTTTTTGTATTTCAGAGTAATGCCCACGATGTCCAATTAGAACTATAGTTTGGGCTTAATTAAAATTTACGCAAGATTCTCCGCTGCCTCAGTGATGTGCGACAAGATCCTCTGGTGATTAATTGTCCCAAGTTTAAAATTGTGATGTTTTAAAGCAATCAATTTTGTGTGTTTTCAGTATTCGAAATGGAAAGAAGATTCCAAACAACCCCCCGAGCTGAGGTAAGGTGCCCGATTTGCACTGGCGCAGTTGCTGCGTCATCGAATGCTTTTGGGAGTGAATCATTCATGAGTCATCTAATTTTTTTCTCTGAATCACTGATAAGGCGACCCTCGGCATCACAGGCCGGAATGCATGTGCTGTAACCGTTGTTAGTCTCTTTAATAAATTGATTGTAGATTAACTCCTGGAGCTCCTATAGAAGTGTACGTCGCATTTATTACGGACTCGATAACGTTTCATTTTTGGACCGAGTGGATATATCGGTTTTCTGGGTATGCAGTAACTACATGAACCCAAATTATCATCACAGGACATGAATCTTCAGTATAATAAATGAAGGCGTGGCGTTCAATTCTTAAAAAATATGTAAAATTCCATGCCCAAATCTCTTTTTTATTTTAAGATGTCTTATATTAGCAAATTCAGCCTTTCACCTCGGTTTAACGATAAGGGAATCTGGTTTACCTGCGATACCTACTCCACAACGATTAAGTTCATCAACAGCTATACCTAAATATGTTCAGAAACAAAAATTCGTTCAAATTAATTTGTTGAAGTTTAACAGATGTAAATATATAATAAATAATATAATAAATAACTCCATGTCAGATTCTGATAACCAAAATAGCTTAAATTTTTCAAGATCGTAGACAAAATATAAAGCTTTGGCTAATAGTAATAGTTGAGTACTACTCACTTCCTTTGCACAGAATGAATAAGTATTCGGCTTTTCTACAGAATTGTGACTGGGTTCTTGGCTCCCTCTGAGGACACATTCCTCCCCACCTCCCTATCTTCTCTTTTATGCTCTCCCCTCGTGGGCTTGTAACTCCTCCCATTAGAGAGCACATGCAGCAGCTGCAGCATGTAACTCCTGAACCTCGAAGGCCTCTTTGTTTACGTTCGTCAGTGACTCATTCGTTCTCAAAATAAGGATTTTTTTTAAAGACACTTCTAGGAGTACAATGTGATCACAATAATGAGCCTTACGCGAAATTTTTTACTAAGTGGACTTCGTGGCACCGAAAATATTAAGACGAGCTGACCTAAAGCTATTGCGCCACGTTAGCTCGTGCGTCACAGCTACGAAAGCACCACAACAAAGCAACCGAGGGGCTGCCGGAGGAAGCGTGGGGCCCGGCATGGGAGCCTCGAACCCTCACCGGGGGTAAGAATTTCGTTGTTCTTCACTGAGGTCTTAGGAGGAAGCTATTGTGTGGACATTGACTTAAACTCGCATTCTAGGTTGTTGAACAAGAAGCAGCTATCAGAATTGTGCTGGTTTGAAACTCGTGATAGAAGATACGTGCTAGAAATTATTTGTAGTATACATTAAACCCTAAGAATGGTGTCGGTATTTTACATAGGCACCAATGCCAATGTGTACCCATCATTGTAAAGTGAACCCCATTGTTTATCGACACTCTTCTGTCCTTGTTCAAAAATGAATTAAAGTAGTTGGTACTGATGGCAGAAGAGGTCAATAAGGAACCGTGTTTCCTCAGTGGTTTTTGTTATTAATTTTGACCTCACTTACGGTTCAAAGAGCCTAAGTCTTCAACATAATGGCAATCCTCGAGACGATCGAACCTTTATTAAAATTGCAAGCATTCAATCGCAATGTCACCTCGCCGAGTAAACAGCACGGGCATCAGGCAGTCAAGGTTTCGTCAAGTCACTCCGGAAATACGCTTCTTTGCTTGCATCGTCAGTTTAAATGCCTCAATCGCTCTGACGATTTCCACAGAAGAGGTTATGACCAGAGTATGCCTCACAGCCTCAGTATGGTATTTTCAAAACTAACTCTGCCAAAATTCTCAGTAATCTTAACTTATGTTCTCGTGTATGGTGCTCAAAATATAATAACAATTCATGGAGGGATTGATTACAATTCATGGAGGGGTTGATTGTTGTGCATTGGCGAATGGCGACAGAAATTCTGGCCGCGGATATTGCTTTGAGGCGCAGCAGCAGGAGCCAAGGGCACTAGAGGCTTCTAGAGGAGGAGCTCCTGCAGCAGGCCGAGTTGCTGCAGCAGAAGCGGTTGTGATGCCGTTGCCACAGGTCGGAAAGACCGAAGTCCGTCACATGTGTGCAGCTCGCACTGAGCTGCAGTTGGTAGCTCCCTCCACGCTGCAGCTCCTGTAGCGCTGTTGTGCACTGGTGTTGGAAGTGGTGGTGCTGTTGTTGGACAAAAATACCTTTATGGAGACGATGAGTTTAGTTACACTTCAATGAAGAAACGTTAATTGAGTTCTTTCTTCGATTGTCGTGTTTGATCAGGCTTTACACGTGTAAAGTGATTGACGACTTCGTGTACGTTAGCGCGCGCGCAAGTGCATTATTTACCTGAGCCAACTTCTGTCACTGGAAATATCTGGTACGCTTGCAAGCTCATCAATTAATGTTACTAAATTCATTTTAAAGTGATTATTTGTAAAAACGTTTCTGTTGTAATGTGAGCCCAAGTTCTTATTCAAAATTTCTACAAATATTTCTTCACGTCTTCTTTCGCCACGGAATGGACGGTGAGTGTTGAAACTTACGTATGAGAGCGCTCAGCAAACTGCGCAGTATTGCCGTGCCTCTCGTGTAGCTGCCCCTTGCGGCCTCTTATGTTCCAGGCCCCAAAATTGTTCAAGCATATGATGCCTTCACGCGCGAATAATGATGAGTGTAAATGTGTTTCAAGCAATAATTTTAAGTGATTTATATTTGATCTACTGATTTACGCTTGCCGATATGACAATAAAGCATTATCGATAGATTGGTTAAGAGTGAAACGTGTGATGTACTTTCCAGTAGGCGATTAATCTGCAATCGAACGTCTTCGTATAATGGGGTTCTACGTTACATAAATTTAAATGCGAAATCACAGGTTTTTTATCGCTTTAAATTTAAATTAATATTTGGGCAGAATCTACATAAAATTTATATGAGAATAATGTGATAAACGTTCGTGGGAATAGGATTTTTATTGGAGGAAACTCCCCTCCTGTAGGAAGACTCGCTCGATAATAAGGATTCGTTGCGTAACAGCTACGGTAGCTGCTTACGTAACTTAGCGAATACTCAACTCCTTTTGATGGCATGGTTTTTGCCCTCCACGTACGATCTATACTTCGTTAATCTGCCCCATCTTGGGATGTGGAATGCGTGTGCGTGGTATGACCGAGCCCAGATTAGGCTGCGTCGTACTGTAGTTGATCTAGCAAAAGTATTCTATCTTTCGCGGTAAAACGCAAAGCAAAATATGTCAATGAATTATTTGAAAGTACATATCTGGAGAAAACCTTCGAAGTCCTGAACCTTGAATGTAATCGTGTATTTTAGTAAACATTCAATATTTAACAGATACATGAACCAGAGAGAAAACTAATGAGAAAGGGTGTGTTCAGAGAACTGCGAAGTTGCGTCATGCAGTGCCGCTTGAGAACAACAGTGCGCTGCTGCGACGCTTGCATCACGCGTCGCAGCAGCGGCCTCAGAAGCACGTGACGCGGGCTATTCTGAGACGACTTCTTGCGGCGCTTTTACACCTGCTTGGCTCTCGTATATCGCACCCGATGTCTCTTCTTAAATTAATCATTTGAAAAATATCATTGATAGAAAATAATTAAAATTAATATTTTCAGTATTTTATATTTGTAAACTCTGTTTAGATTAATTATCTCGGATGGAAAACTTGTAAAATGTTGATCGAATGCAGGATTCAAGTTCAATTTGTCCGAAAGTTATCTCCAAGTTGTTAAAGGAAAAAAGCGTTCTAAAGCGTTGCACATCGGCTGCATTAGAATATGAAGTATTGTATTCATATGAAAATAATTTTCCACCAGCTGTTGTTGTCAATTAACACTTTTTAACTGGAAACTGCCATCTTGGATTAATCATCGATAAAACCTGGGAACATATTTAATATTGTTGCCGAAGAAAAGTAACCGGGGTAGTCGCGTAAAGTCTTTTTTGTTTTAGTTCCGTAGTGAAAAGTTGCTTCATGAACGTAATAAAAATATTTACGAGCAATTTTGCCGTTAGTAAAATTATTCAGAATACTCCCACTTCACCGACACTTAAGGATACGTTGCGTTTACTGATTGTTTAAGTGGCATTGTCGAACGAACCAAAATTTTTTGAAGGCAGCACCTAATTTTTGTGTCGTGTAAATATCGATGTCTCTGGGGTTCCTATTCTATTTTTTTCGCTTCGCAAACTTTTCCGGAAGTTTTAGCAGAAAATATGTTTAAATTAGCTGAGCTACTCAAATGTTTACGCTAAAGGGAGCAAAAATACTAATTTTCTTTTAAATAAGAACTCATGATCAGCGGACGCAGAGGCCTCCGTACCCTGTCTCCGGATTGATCCACACAGAGGCACCGTTAAGGGGTGCGTCTTTCTAGAAAGCTCTGCCATCCTATTGATTTTCCGTGGAAGCATAACACGACTTTCGTCCAAACCTTTAGTTATTTAAATTTTCATGACTAATGATTCTACGAATATCACGAATTTACGTGTGCCGTGACTATTATAAACATCAAATGTAAAAATGGGTTTGTTAGTGATCTTGCGACATGATAAATACTGAATACGATATGAGATGCATGATTAGTTTCAGATCATTTCAGTAAGTATTTCGTAGTTATTCATAATTATCTGTACGTTAATTAAAATAACGAGTTCTAAATTATTTGTTAGCCCTACCTTTCACTCAGCTGTTTTCATGAACTACCTATAAGTATCGGAGTCTCAGAGCAGGCGAGCTGCATGAACAATTTTCTTAACTTCTTTCCTGGTATTATCATACCTCAAGGCAGCCATCGAGCATGCAAGAAAGTGTGACCAAGAAGCGGCCTTAACGTGCAGAGGTGAGTGCCATTTGCACATGAACGTCATCAGAGAGCAACGTACCCAGTCACCTGTAGGCTGTAATGCAAGTAGAGAGCAGCTGGCTCAGTAAAGAGCAGCTGTGGCTCAAACTAAGTAGAGAGTCCACAGCCCCAAGCGCTGAGGCTCGCAAGCGCGGCCACGCTACCAGTCAGCTGACGCACGTAAACAAACGAACATCGCCTTCTCTTGCAGTGTGCACTGCCGTGTCTCTTTGTTCATTTATTCATTTTATTGTGTTTGCAATTTTTTTCCCCTAAATTATTATAATTTTACGAAGCGATTATCGTGGCGTCTGGTACAAACGAACTTCGAGGACACGTTACACATACATAAATAAAGGAATTATAGAACTAGAATTCTTATATAATTATTATATATCATTTTTTTAAATGGTATTTTTTCGAGCTGGATCAAATATTGCGCAGTCGATGTTATGTAAACATGCTTAGTTTACAGTTATTTATTAAATGATTCCACTTTAAAATGTGATGACATTTTGTGGAATTTTGTTGAATCTATAAATATCAGAGCGGACTAAAAACGTGTATTGATGTCACTAAATATTGACTCAGTTTACCACGGATATTAAACTTCCATGACTACCTCACTATTATGCAAAATCGCGTTGGAGTTTCGCACCGCCCAAGAGAGAGGTACGTTGTTTTGTCGGTACAGATCGGAATTAATTAACCATCTGATAGTAAAATGCTTTAAACGTAAAACAATAAAAAACTATTTAGGCTTGCGGAAATTTAATTCCCGAACAAGAGGGTTCAAGTGTGTTGTAAAATTCGGACTTCGTTTAATGGTATACGTCAGTTTAATGATTAAATTATGATTTGGATCAGAATAGAACACGCGTGGGTGCAAGATGTGTGAATTATAAAATTGATGATCTGTGAAAGCTCTAAAAGAAATTACTTGAATTTTCTGTCTTTTACAATTAATTAATGCTATTGGTATTAAATATTATCGGTTTGAAAGGCTCACCCGGTGACAACGTGCGGTGTCTTACACAACTTTTGTTTAGTGATATTCAATCTTTATTGACATCCAATTTAATGTTTTCTCTTAACAAGTTAACTTTTAATCTCCATTCATTTTTGTTCTTTTTGTTCCTTGCGGAAACGTAATATTTTTCCACATTTTTTCGCCATACGTCATAAAGAAAAGTGAAGGAAAATTAAATTCGGCTGACGCACATTCCTTCCTGTTGGCAGCTAATGCACTAACATCAAATCCAGAATTATCAAGTTCAGGGACGCCTAAACGTGAATAAACGCGAGTCCGTCAAACATTTCATCGTTTCGATTCGACTGATCCGGAGATATGAAAAGAAAATGATCTCAAATATTTTACTTTTTTGATGATATCACAATTCACCTGCAAAAAGGAAATATCTATAAACTCTTTACTCTATGTGTAATTTATTTTAACTTCGTTATTTGTTACTAATTTAAGTTATTCCTGGATTTTTTTATCAACTAACAAATTGACAGGCTGTTCTTAAACTTACTCGTTTAAATAACCTCCACGAATAACTTGAATAAAATATCTAGAATACCACATGGCTAGGTAATCTTCATATAAAATTAAAGCTACGGTTTGTTACTCACTAAAAATGTCAACATTTATCTACTTTAGTTCGTCAAGCGCCCAGAGCAAAAGCACGGCTTCATTCGCCTGCATTCTGGCCCCCAATGCATGAGATGCAGCGGGTGGCAGTGAATGACGAGTGCTGGGAGGGGGCGTGTGGGGAGTGGGGGGATGTGGAACTCGCGTGACCATGACCTTGGGGCCCTCGTAGGGAGGGAACAGTCCCCAGAACGCGGCCTCTTCAACTTTGCTGGCGTGTATTGATCGCTGCTTCCCCCTTCCTCCCCATGTATCCCTGATTGGCCCCACTCTTCCCCCCAACGTGGGGATGCCTGGCCAGCTCATGGCAGCCGCGGTGTAGCACTCTGGTGCTCTGCTCTCTACTGCGCAGTAACGGGACCACATGGCGCTCTAGCAGGCCGCTCTGATTGACCGCTCTAACAGGCTGCTCTGACACGCTGCTCTGAAGGGCTGCTCTGACACGCTGCTCTGACAGACTGCTCTGACACGCTGCTCTGACAGACTGCTCTGACGAGCCGCTCTGACAGACTGCTCTGACAGGCTGCTCTGACAGGCCGCTCTGACGAGCCGCTCTGACAGGCCGCCCTGACGAGCCGCTCTGACAGGCCGCTCTGACGGGCTGCTCTGACAGGCTGCTCTGATGGGCCGCTCTGACGGGCTGCTCTGACAGGCCGCTCTGACAGGCTGCTCTGACGGACAGCTCTGACGGGCTGCTCTGACGGGCAGCTCACACCACCCGCTCTGAGCAGCGCGCAGGAAGTTGCCAGCAGCTCGAGTGCCGCCGGTGCTGAGCCTCGCATTTATCTTCCTTAATATTCATAAAAAATAATGTCGCAGGCGCATTTCTTAGGTATAGGTCCATCATTATAAGCATTGAACCGTTTCTAAAATGAAAAATAACGGTGCGGCATATAATTTTGAAATTCTTTGTGCTACAGCAAAGCTACAATGCGCATCTGTTTTTTTTTTCACAGATTTAAGAATTTATTGACGTTCGACGTTTATGTGTGTGTGAATATCGACATCC